ATGAATTACTAACTTGTACAGCTTCCAAATTTAGGTGACTAGACATGAGGTACACAAACCATAAGGGCTGGAGATATGGCAATAATTCAGTAACACTCATTCACAGAGGCAGAATCATGCCTGGGAAGTTAACACATGTTCCAAAAAGTAAAGAGTGTGGAAACAGCAAATATATGTTGTTCCCAGGTTGCCATTCATTGAGCACCTCCTAAGCAATAGGTCCAAACCAAAGTTCAACGACCACCAATTCCCTAACCTTAGGATAATGACTCATCTGCTTCTCCCTCTGAAGCCTTTCAGATTGGACTTCAAAGAAGTAGTTCCGTTCCAAAGATCTACCACAAGTGAGTTTGATGTAAAGTCTAGTTCACTTTTGGGGGTTTCCAATTTGGGTCCTGCTGCTGTGGTCTAGGAAGCCTGTTGTGCACATAAAATAGCAAAGTCTAATGGCCCAGTTGTCTAGAGCACGTTGCCTGGGTCATAAGCAGCTGCAGATACATTCGGTCAAAAGTACCCAGTTAGGAACAAAATACTGGGTGTATTTTCTCCGTGAGGTCTGTAAATAATGTTAAGCATTTTTCTCACTGGCTGGTAACCCCCAACCCACCAGTAACACTCCCTGTTTTACCCACCATCAGAACTGTAATCACTTCTTCCAATGCAGTCATGTCACCCACCTCCATTCCTGCCACATGACACAAGTTCCAAGTAAGGCTCAATAATTACTCTTGTAGGAATGTCTGTGGACTTGGGATCATCATACAACACTGCTATCTGCAGATATTGAGAGATCTTCTCCCTCTCCCCACAACATGGCAGACTGACCTCATCTGGAGTGAAGCCACTGCTCTTCAGGTGGTTTTTAAGAAGTTCAAATGTGGGGGTGGTATATGGTTTATAGGAACTAGGCAGGCACACTACCTGGGTATTTGGGGGACCATATTAGGAAGACTACATTAGCCCACTGTTTTTGAAAAGCACTTTACTACCTAGTTACAGAAATTTGGGGAACTGAAAATCATAGATCTTATATATAGATCTGATTTGAATGGAAACATGTATTTATAAAACTCATTGTTTATAGTCTGTCTAGGATTTCAGAGATATTTAGTTACCAATTTTTTTCAGTAACATGCATTTATTCCACAGGTCTCCCACTATGCTTACATTTTTAACATTAGGGACTCATTTCTTAACAAACTCTGCTGCTTACTATAAGAATGGAAAGAAAAACAAGTATTAATTATTAGGTCTGTGATTTTCTCTTGGCATTTTGTAATTTCTGTTCACAACATTCTTATTTAAAATACACAGTATGGTTTACCTGTTTTTATTTACTGTCTATCTCTCTTCTCCGTACTACACCACACCACACACACACACAAAGCATACTCTACAAAAGCATTAAAGTTGCATAGTCATAATTATATATCCAAGTGCCAATAATTGGACCTAGCCCATTCAATAATTATATGTTGCTGAACTGATAAATTTTAACTCATTTAAGAAAATTAAATAAAGGATAAATTAATTAATAACAGTTGTAAAGTATAAATATTTTCATTTCTACACCTTTAAACTCAATTATGGAATCACATTTCTAAATCACAGCCAATAGGAGGTAGGGGTGACCTCCTGTGTGACTTTTCTGAGTCAGCATGTCCAACAGAAACAACAAACTCAACAGCAACTTCTCACAGTTACAGAATCTATCAATCGGAACCCACCAGCCTACATCCAATAGCTTCTACATCAGTCTAACCACTGAAGAAATCAATGTGGAGAGACTTAATGACAGTTAACCAAGGGACTGATGGTGCAGGTGTTTATGGCACAGATTGATCCCTGCCATGCACAATATCGAAAGGTAGCTTTCCTCACAAACCGAAAGATCTGCTTTCCTACAGTCACACTGTTCGGGGATCGGATCTTGGAATGACATTGTTGCAAAGCTTGGACTTTGCTGAGAACTAAAAAGTCTCACCAATCCATCAACTTTGTTGTAGTTCTTCTGAACTTCCATGTCGCAATGATAAGCTTTTGTGAAATATTTTATACACTCATTTTGTGACTTATCAAGAACATAAATGCAAACACTAGAACAATAAAGTGAATATAGTAGTGCAAACTTCCATGTACACCACGTTAAGGGACAGCCAGTTGGCTGCAGCCAAGATATCTTTGGATATGGAGATTGAGCTTTACAGGGAAAAAAATCTGGAATAATGTCAAAAAATCTGGAATGGTATCAAAACTGTCTAAGTTATCACAACTCCCTGTTTCTTTGAGGTCATCATGATATGAGCTGTGACTCTGGCATTATTCCTCAGGAAAGATTAAGAAGAGAAACAAGATAGGAATTCAGAATCCGAGGATGAAAAACCAATTGTGCAATATGCCACAAGGAAGAAGAGTTCTAAGCACACAAAAAGAAAATGGAAAAGGTTATGAGCAGCTTCAAGACTCAAAAGAAGAAAAGAAACAGAAGTGCAGAACTTCTCAATTATTCACGTGATTCTGCATCCCCAACCATTTGCAGAAAGAACTAAAACACTAGAGACCTCGAAGGAGAAATTTAAAGTGAAGATGGTGCTCTTGATCAGTATCTCCAGGTTGGTGGGAATTCTTGAGTCTTTCCTCTCGCACTTCTCTCCCTTTGTTCAAAGGTTTCTGCATCCCCACCAAAGAGACCTAACTCTGTTCCCTCTGTACACGCATCTCATCTCCTGGTAGACCCGGACATCATTCAGTGATTGCTCATGACGGTGGCCAACAATTCTGTTACTGACAAGGACCCTGGTGGAGTTACGACAGTGGGAACCAGTGCTATCAGACAGAAGACACCTTGATGCCCTCTAGCCATGCCGAAGGAACATCTCCAAGGGCTGCCCAGGAGATGACACAGAGATAAAAATATAATGATGGCTGAAAGAACACTGACTCAGCAATTCAGAACACCCAATCCTACAAAATTCTGAGAAGCCTACACAGGCCTCAAACAAATAAGAGATCAGAGCATTTGATGCTAAAGATTGCTTTCAGGGCAGAAGTTCTGGATGTTGAGAGAGAGGAATACAATGTAGAAAAGTATGAAGATGGGTATGAAAGTGCCAGCCTCAGTGAGGAGCAGGATGTGGATTGTGAACTGGTGACGTGCTGATGGAGCTGGGGATGTTCACGGCACAGATTCATCTTCCAATGCAGAAGAGCAAGAGGTTTCCAACCAGTGGAACGCCAGGCCCAGGGGAAGCAGAAAGCCAAAGCTGCAGCCATCATCACTAAGCAGGTTGAAATAAGGACGACTCAGAAACCATTTGCATGGTTCATCTGAGGAAAGTACTCCTCGCTGGCTCTGGGAAAGCAGAAAAGAGGAAGGAGATTTCAGTCGACAATGAGGAGGAGGCAGTGGTGAGTTACTTTCACATGGAGACATTGAACACTTTCTTAAAAAGCCAATGTCTGACAAGGAGACCAGACAAGCAACTTCTGGGAAAACAGACCAAAAATAAAGTGTGGCGAAGAAAGCCAACATGAATTCATTTTTAGTTCCACCAATAAAGAAGAGAACGTCAGAATAACTCTGATGCGGCAGTCCAGCCAGGATGCTTGTCAAAAACATTCCCGGGCCCTCAGAGAAAAGCAGCTGTGCTTTGAAAAAGAAGGAAGTTCTTTTTCCCAGCAAGTTTTCCTTTTCCAGTAGAACAGCAAATTCTCTGTCGTTACTCTAGGAGCACGCCAAGGAAGCCGGCTTCTATGAAAAAGTTCATATGCAATGCATTTTCACGATCACAGTAAAGTTGCTAGTGATTTTTATTTTGAAGATCATTTGAAATGTAAGTAACATGGTGAACTAAAATCATTTCTATTTAGCATTCAAGCAAACGCATGGAGCTCCTGTGGCTTCGGTAGACTCAAGATGAATGAGTCTCACTCCTTTAGTCCCCGCACCAGGGGAAAGTAAGTCTGCATATAGATGCTTATGGAAGAGTGTAAACAGCTTCTAGTTGAACTAGGGACATACGTCTACTGATGTCACAGAGACTTTAGGGACTAATTCTGTAAGATTACAGATGAGATCTGCGGAGGAGATTGTATATTCTTTTCATACAAAAATAGACAATGCTGTCGAGAGTAAGAGATTCTTCAAAACAGGCGTACTTGCTGAAAGGAGGTCCCTCCTATGCAGACTTGGCTAGCTAACTGAGCTCCTTCAGTCCATCTCGAAGATGGAACTATTTTCAATGCCATATTGGTAGCTTTTGGCAATTTCGACTCATCGCCACCCTCTATGACAGGGTAGAATTGGCTCTGGGGTGTTCAAAGCCTGTAACTCTTTACAGGAATCGAAAGCATCCTTCTTTGTCCCGCAACATGGTGCAACTGGTGGCCTTGCAGTTAATGGTAATTGCGACGCTACCAGGCCTCTGGATTTTTGGTGAAGACTCTGCTTCTTAAATTGCCCGAACTATAATCATCTTGAAGTAGTTTTATTTGTTGGAGTGGCACACTCTTCCAAAGAAGAAAGATAATAAACACAGACAAATTTAATTTCTACTTCCCTTTATTTTACCTTATTTCAATAAAATTATTTCTGATGTCATAAAAACAAACAAATGAATTTAGGTTCCTAACATGCTAATTTGACTATCAACCCCAATCACTGCCATAAAGTAAATTCCAACTTATAGCAACCTGGAACGACAGAGTTGAACTGTCTCTGGGCTTTCTGAAGCTGTGGAACTCTACAGGAGCAGAAAGCCTCCTATTTCACCCACAGCGCAGCTGGTAGGTTTGAGCTACAAGCCATAGATTAGCAGCCTAACTCTAGCCCACTATGTCCCTAGAGCTCCTTAGTTTGACTCTAAATGAATGACAACCAGAAAATATGGTAAATGTCTCCAAATGATATATGCAAGCTTTCTCCAAAATTGCCTACATGACTTCTGAGAGCGGATAGTTAAAATTTTGGAAGTAAACACTAATGGCATTAAAGTCTCTTACTAATGAACAGTAAAAATAAAGTCTTTTGGTGTATACATATTGAGTTTTTCAGATTCACTTAGCTTCCAGTATTTGACGTATATAATGTTTCAGCCATCAAGGAGTGAGCTACACACAGTGACCACAATAATGGGCCCAAACACGGCAACGACTCTAAGGACAGCCCAGAGCCAGACAATGTTTCATTCCGCTGCCCATTGAATGAATGTGCAGGTCACTATGAGTGGAAAGTGAATCAGCAATGTTTTAACAAAAACCCAAGGCCCATCTCTAGGCAACTGGACACCCCCTTACAGAAGGGTTGCAAGGAGGAGATGAACCAGTCAAGGTGTAGGGTAGCAACGATGAAACATACAACTTTCCTCTAGTTCCTAAATGCTTCCTCCTTCCCACTATCATGATCCCAATTCTACCTTACAAATCTGGCTAGACCACAGGATGAACACTGGTACAGACAGAAACACAGGGACTCCAGGACAGATGATCCCTTTAGGACCCCTGGGGAGAGTGGCGATACCGGGACGGTGGGGAGAGGGTGGGGTAGAAAGAGGGAACCGATTACAGGGATTTATATATAACCTCCTCTCTGTGGCACAGACAACAGAAAAGTGGGTGAAGGGAGATGTCAGACAGTGTAAGATGTGACAAAATAATAATTTATAAATTATAAAGGGTTCATGAGGGACAGGGGAGCAGGGAGGGAGGGGGGAAAATGAGGAACTGATGCCAGGGGTTTACGTGGAGAGCAAATGTTTTGAGAATGATGAGGGTAACAAATGTACAAATGTGTTAGACACAATTGGTGAATGTATGGACTGTGATAAGAGTTGTATGAGCCACCAATAAAATGATTTTTATAATATGCATTTAAAATTCATATGTAATCATAGCATTTATCTATTCCTACATAACCAGAGAGAAAAGGAGTGAGACAAATCAGGTGTAGCATATTAATGTGGTTCTTTTTCATAGTGACCCCATGCACAAGAGAACAGAAGAGTCCCCCTCCCCACTGCTGCTGTTATGCGTGTATGCACTGTCACGGCCGCTGTGCCAGCCCAGCGCAGTGAAGGGCTGGCTGCCTCTGGTTCACTGACTCTCAGCTTCAGTCATTTTTCCTTCTAGTCTCTGAAGAGTCTCCTTCCAAGTCTCAGAATTGCTAGCATTAACTCTTTGAATGACCAAAAAGTATTGCAATAGAGAGAAGTTGTCTTTTCCTACATTACATGGAATATTTAAAGCTGACTAAACATATTGAAAATACTTTTAGAAAGCAAGATTCCGACAATCAATTTAACGAGCAGTGAATCTATGCATAAAACCAAGTTTGGCATCATGGGGCACAGATGAAGGGGAGTGAGGGAAATCCATGGAAAACAGAAGTCATATTCAGGGCCGCCGAGATTACATCTTTTCAAGGGTAAGGAGAAGTGACCATGTGGCTGTGAGCATTGGGGAGAAGTGATCCTATGTGTGGTTTAGAAATATCACTATATTGGTATCTTGTACTGAATAGGGCAAATAGGAGTCCATGTGCAAGCTGGCAGTTGCTTGTGTGAGGTAAAGGAGATAGAAATGAAGAAAAGTAGATTAATTTAAAAACATATATCTCAGGAAGTAAAGGATCGATTTTGAAGATGATTATGTTGCACTAGAAGGGATACTTGGGAACGACATACTCATGTTATATGTTGAAGAAACGAGAAACAGTTTTCGATTTCAGCCTGAGGTGCTACGGAGATTCTCCGGAGTAGCTAAGCCACAGACAGGGGGTGCAACAGCTAAAACTTCGGGAAAGTAACTCATCAGCACTGAAGGCACATGTGAAAAGCAAGCAAAACTCTAAGAACCTTTAAGAATGTCCAAAAATAAAGTCGTGAGAAGAAAACGAGTCCATATCAGAGTTCTGGAAAGCATCAGTATTTAAAAGAGTTGCATAAAATAAATTTGAAATGATGTCTAAAAAGGAGTAGCCTAAAAGTTGGGAAAGATATAAGAGAAATAAATCCAGCGAAGGATGCATGTTTTAATCTGTACCTTGATCGAGAGGCAATATGTTTAACAGAATAAGAGGATTCTGCAGAGTTTAAAATAAGGAAAGCGTGTGCATAATTGATCTTTTCTGTTGATCTCGATATTGTCTCTCCGTCCAGTTGTGCGGATTCCGGTTTTCTTTACAAAGAGCTGTAATCCATACTGAATGCGGTAGTCTTTGATCGTCATTGGCAAATGCCTCAAAATTTCTTTGCTTGGAACAAGCAAGGCTGTGCTTTCTGCATATTGTGAATGTTAATTAGCCTTCTTTCAACCTTGATGCAGTATTTTCTTCATATACTCCACATTCTTTAAATATTTGCTCACCATACACTACTTACACAAGCCTCAATGATTTTGCTTGTCTAGAGAGAGAATCCAGGCTGAGACAGTGTGTCTGGAATTTATATCATTTCGCCACACTTATTCATTCTGTATGCTGAGCAAATAGTTCACAGAACTATATGAAAAAGTACATGGGCTCAGGAGCAGAGGAAAGTTTATTAATAACCGGCTATATGAAGAGAACACAAGTTTGCTTGCTGACCTTGAAGAGTACTTGAAACACTGTTGAAGATGAAAGACAACGACATTTCACTGTGCCGTACACCTCAATGTGGAGAAAACAAAAATCCTCACAATTGAACCGACAAGCAGCATCATGCTAAATGGGGTAACGCTGAGATTGTCAAGGATTACCTTTTCTTTGTACCCACAATCCACCATGCCCATGGAAGCAGCCATCAAGAAAACCAGGTAATGGCCCTTGCCATATCTGTGGCAAAAGACCACTTTAAAGTGTTAAAGACCGATGCTGTCACTCTGAGGACTAAGGTGAACTTGACTTTTTTTTTTAAATCATTTTATTAGGGGCTCATCCAACTCATCACATTCCACACACACATCAATTGTGTAAAGC